TGGACGTGGTGCTGTTCACGAGCCTGGGGTTCTGGCTGGAGGGCAGCGCGTCTGTCAGGGTAGTCGGGGCTGGCGTATGACGAGCCCGGGCCCCCGCCTTGGACCCTTGCAAAGGAAGATGGAGATGAGTTTTGGTAGCTGCTGTGACCAGAGGGCATCTGTGAGCTGACAGGTGACCGGTAAACAGGCTCTACCGAGGCATGGGGAGGTGTAACCGTGCCATGGGGGCTGCCCTCTGAGGGGTAGCTGCGGAGTGAGGCCCTGAGGAGAGGGAAGGAGAAGGAGGCTCAGTCCTGCTGCTCACTGGCACCTTTCTGTGAGTGGTGCACAGGGAAACCGAGGCACTGTGCTAGCAAGCTGCTCAGTTGTTCAGAGGCAATAGTGGGATGAGTCCTGCCAGCTGCATGAAAGCAGCTGGAAGCAGCTTTAGTTCCACCATCCACCCCAGTTCCCTCTCAAAATACAACTTTCTGGGATACAAAGCCATTTTCCAGCTCCTCTCCCAACAAAACACTCAGTTTCTCCCTGTCAGTCTCACAAGGCAGGGCTGATGCAGGACACCTCATGGGCAGCATCGAGAGGGGACAGGGATGATGGCTTTATCACACCACAGGGGACCAGTGCGCAGCCTAACCCAGGGCTAGGGTTTAGCATAGACCTGATCCCTCCTTCCACCTCAGGGGCCAGGTTCCTAGCAAAATGCTGCTGAGGTCTATTGACCACCAAGTGACCCAGCTTTGTGTTCTCAAGGCAGTGAACCCAGGGTTCACCCAAAACCTCACACGCTGAGATGGGGGTCCTTCCAAAAGCAATTTCAATGTGGGACCAACACTGTGCACCCAGCTGGGTTTGACCCCGGCCCCACCAGCCCCGGGGACTTGCTCCCAGTGCCTTACCCGTCCACACTGTGAATGGGGCTGCTGGTGGAGACAGGACTGGGGGTGGTGAAGGAGTTGTTGAAGGTGCCGTTCCTGGTGGGCACCTCTGGGCCCACGGGCTGGGCAGTGGGCAGGCTTCCTCCCCTGCCTGCTGTGGCTGTGCGGGCCACAGACTCAACGTAGCTCCTGGGCTCTGCGGCAAAAGAGAAGGGGAAACAGATGAGCCCACAGCTCGCTTTAGGAGAGGCCATACCCTTCCCGGTCTCCCCATTTCAGCCAGTGAAGCCACTTGGCTGAGCTCCTCCAGCTCCACATTTCCCCCGTTGCTCTTCCCACAGGGGCTGTGCAAAAACAAACGTGGTTCATCTGGGCCTTTAGGTTTCTCCAAGGGGTGCTTGAAGGTCCCACCCAGGGCACAGGGAGGGGGGTCATGCCCACTCCTTTTCCTGAGAAGCACATGGGACCACAGTTCCTTCCCATGCCACAGCCCCTCCACCCTGCTCTGAGTCAGTGTCCCTCCCTGCCTGGGATGCCACACAGCATACGTTGTCCTCCCTGCTCATCCTCAGCCCCCAAATATAGAGCCAGTGACACTGCCCAGCCTGCGCTGACTCACACAGGACTGATGATGATGACCTGTGGTCCCTACCCTGTGCAGCCCCCCACCTCTGCCAGCCACCTCCAGCAGCAAACCAGAGAGCAGCTCCAGATATTTCCACTGCAACATCCAACACTGTCACTCCCAGCCCAGCTCGAAACCGGAGCCCATGAGCATGACCAAGAACATCAATTTTCCTTTGGAGCTGCCAAGCTGTCCCGTGCCAGGAGCACTGGGCTAGGCTGGCTGTCACCAGCCACAGCAGCCACCAGACCCAGCCCTCCCTCCTCCCTCTCCCCTCTACCTCCTGCTCCATCCAGGCTGGTCCCCATCCCTATGATGGGGACCTCATCCTTCAGCCCTGCCAAAAGCTGTGCTGGAGGAAGGGACTACAGCTTCAGCCCTGTCCCCCTTGTCCCCTGCAGCTGTGTTACAACTCAGCTGGCAGGTGCCACCCACTGCCTCCAAGCTGGGGCACAATGTCCTAAGCAAGACCCACTGGCGTCAAGCACTATGGGCTGGGCATCCTTGCAGGTACCCTGGCTCCAGGCTGGCCATGCCTGAGGCAGTCTGCAATAGTAATTAGCATGAAAAACATTACTATTATTATTATCATCATTATTATTATTAGTCATAACAGCCGGGCTCCAGCTAAGTCTGCCAGCAAGCCGGCCAGCTCACAGCCAGCAATGCCAATGCACAGCTCCATGTTCAGTGACAGACTGGGGGGATGCAAGGAAAAAGACTGTCACAGGTCCCCCTCCTTCCCTCACATCATCTCTGTGCCATATCCACCTGCAGATAGGGGAGGATGAGACCATTCTTTGGGCTGATCTCTCTGCCCAGCCCTGCTCAACCATCCCAGAAAAGATCTGAGCCAAAACCAGACCAAGGACCTCAACATGGGCTAGGTACCAGCATCAGAGGCAGCACATGTGCTCTGAGTGACAAGGACAAAGCACTGCCCAAGAAGATGCCCAGGGCAGCTGCAAGAAACTCATTGCTGCTTTGGTAATTAAATTAATTTCACAGCTACTCACTTTTCTCCCCTGCTCCCCACCCCAGACTAAAGTTAGCCAGACAGCACATATGAGTCAGCCTGCAAGAGGTTAAGACCAAAGGGCTGCAAAAATGCCAGCCCCTCCTGCAAAGGTTGGGGGCTGAAGCGAGGCAGGAGATGGGGGGTCAGGAAGGGGTGGCAATGTATGTGTGCCACAGTGAGGTGTGTGACCATGGGCACGGATTGAAGTCATTTGATTCAGTATGGGGGGAAAAAGGAAGAGAAAAAGAAGAGGAAGTTTCAAGGCAGATTTTTTTTAGGTTGAAAAATCTGTTCTTGCCTCCTGGTGTTTTCTTGGAAGAGGCTCTGGAGACGGGAAGACGGTGGGAGACTAGAGAGGCTGTGAGTCACCAGGGAGGTGGGCAGTGGTTTGAGATTCCTGAATCCAAGCCGGGCTGCACTCCGGCCAGGAATCACCAGCGCTGCGACTGCGCAGGGCGGTTGTAAAGCCTCCTCGGAGATGGCAGCCAGATCCCAACCTCCTGTGCTGCCAGAGCATCCTCCAGCCCCAGGCACGGCCTAGCCATGTGGGCTGGGATCTGCTGAGCAGGGCCTGGCAGGGCAGGAATCCTCTGGGCTCTGTGGCTGGGTGCAGAGGGTGCTAAGCCAAAGCTTTGTCAAGCCAAAACGCAGGCCTCTCCTCAGGACTGCAGATTTAATGACCCCAAAACCGTCATGTTATCAGAGAGGATGAAGCACAGCAAGAGGCTGGTAGTGGCCACTCAGCTTGGCCAGTGTGGGGTCACTGGACATTCTTGGTCTGGATCAACCACCATGCGAGCAGCTGAGTGCCACAGCAACAGAGAAGCAGTGCAGCCTGAGCTCCTGAGGGTTTGGTGAGAAGGAGAAGTGATATATGGGTGTTTGGAGGCTTAAAGCTGGACAAAAATGGTAAATCTAGGGGGGCACCTAGGAGGGAAAAGTCTGGCTTTATCACAGCTTTTCATCCCTCAATGTACCCAAAAAGCCATCGCTGAAAAATCAGCTCTGGAAGCAGAACATTTTCTTTAAGTAAACACTTTCTTAAATATTACCCAGCATTCAGGTTCAGGTTATGTGCACTTTAAGGAACTCCAAAGCAGAAATGCTGCAGCTCCCTGAGCCATAAGAAGCATCACAAACTTGCCAAAAAAGAGACATCCTCTCCCCAAAACCCATATTAAACACACAATTCCCCATTCTGGCCTCAAGGGCCCAAAGTTCCATTAAAAAAGAAAGCAAAACCCAACAACTGTTAGATTGCACGTGGTGCTCCAGGCAACCACACCCACTCCCAAAGCCTCTGTCCCCTCCAGGACACATGCCACCCCAGAGCACACAGTGCCTCCTCCATCAGCACAGCCACTCCCGAGCTGGCATCTCATATCAGCCCCATCCATGGCATCCCGAGGGAGGCACAGCCCAGATTCAGGAGAGGTGGGGGAATCTGGGCAGCCTCCTGGCTGGCGGAGGATGTGCACTGACCACCGGCACTGCGCCACTGCCCGACCACTGAGCCGGCAGCACGCTGGTGGCCTCTGTGCCTGCTGACCTTTTGTGCTGCACTTAGGTTTATTTTTGCTCCAAAAAGCAGCAGCAAAGCCAGAAGGGACCGGGGTTGGTGCTCCCAGCCCCCTGACAGGCTCATCTGAAGCTGGCCACAGTGTGCCAGCATCCCCAGCATGCCACCAAGAAGGATGCCATCCACCAACAAATTGCTCTCAGCTCCCATGGATGACTGCCACCCAATGTGACAGACCTCCAGGTCCAATTTGGACATCAGGGAATCCAACCACGACACAAGACATGATGTTCCCCTATTCAAAAGGGAGCAGATGGACAAGACTCAAGTTCCTACACCACTGAGGAACAGCGCAGGGAAGGCTGTCGGCACAGACAGCCAGAGCCTGCTCTGAGCAACAGTCTCAAGAGTGGGGATAAGCAGGAGAGAGAAAGAGAGACAGAGAAAGAAAAGCCTTTCTTACCTTCTCCAGAGTCACTGCCCACCTCCCCTTCTACCTCTGGGAGATGGAGGGGCAGGGGAGCGATAG